TTAAGCCTAGATGCCTGTTACATGTCTGTGACATATAATCATGTTAATATTTTTAATGAATGTTCTTGTCTATAAGTTATCTTAAATGTAATATGAAAGATAATGTCCAAGAAAAAACTCAGAAAATGTAGCTCAGTTTATAAATTTGATTTTTTAAAATTTATAAAATAAACAGAAATGTCTGAGATAAATGAATATAAATAAATGAAGTGTGTGGAAAGATTTTTTTTTCCCCTAACAAATGCCAGGAAAGATGATAGCAATGAATGAAACTTAAATAGAAAGCTTTAATAAACTAGTTTATCAGCAGCTGGATGAGAGAGCTTTAATTGAAAGTGATTTAGTTCTTAGAATTGGGCTTAATGCAAAGGCTAACATAAATATTAGCATAACAAAAAATAGTCCCTTCTCTATCTAATAGCTAATAAAACAATTGCAATAAAGCTAATCATTTTTATTTTTTAATGAATAGGACATGATAAACTATTTTCATATTTTTAAGAACTCCCCATAATACCCTGTGCCACAGCACATGCAAAATTAAATCTAATAAAAGTAGTAGAGATTGCAAAATACAAAGAAAATTGCAATTGAGAATTTTGTCAATACGGGCATTCATAAAGCATACACATTTTATTATTATTATTTTTATTTTCCTAACTTATAAATAGAAGCAATAATTATAAAACAAATCTTTTTAAAAATAGTTTTTAGTTGTAATGGGTATAATACTTTTATTTATTTATTATGTGGTCCTGAGTATCAAACCCAGTACCTCACATGTGCTAGGCAAGTGTTCTACCACTGAGCTAAAAACCCAGCCCCTGTGAAGCAAATCTTATCACTTGGAAAGTACATTAAAATATTTGAAAAACAAACAAAGGAATGAACATCCATTACAAAATTGATTCATGATTTTTTTAGACCTGACTGTGTGATACCACAATCTGACCAATTTTAAAGGGACACATAAAAACCACTAATGATATTTAGACTAATATAAATTAATAATAATTTACTATTTAATGAACTATCTGATAGCTTCAAAGCACTTAAAAAAGGTGAATAATACCTTTCAAGTTCAAGACTAGTGAACATTAAATATCAGTGTAAAACACTAATAATAAAAGTTGATGCAATGAAAGTAGTAAATCTCTTTACTTAAAACTAGCACGCTTGGCTTAAACAGAAATTTAGAGATTTTTGTGGCTATTCAGTCAAAGTTATACATTAATTGAAAGGAAAATTTATACTTAAAAGAATAAAATTTATTTAAAAATCTTCTATAAAACCTAACAAGCAAGAAAAATACTATTATTAACATGTTAAATTAATAAAAGTAGTGGAATTTTCCTCTCAGGATGTAAGTTCTTCACTATAGTATTTTGCCTATTTTCTCTTAAATATTCTAATCAAAAGTTATTTTCAGTAATTCAAGCTATAAAATATTTATGAATAGCATATGTGCTATGTTGAAGCATATATATATATATATATATATATATATATATATATATATATATATTTGATGCAATCAGAAAATTCTTCCCTGCCTGTTAATGTAATTTTATAATGGGCAACATTGCTACTTGACTATATCTATTCATCTTCCATCATGTTTTAATAACAAAGTGACACCTAAGAAATTATTCTTTGATCTTTCAATAAACTAAGCCTGAGCAGACAGAGGAAGGTGAACAGGGTTAAATTGGCATTGATTATTTAAGACACATTCATCATTTATTTAACAATTTTCATCATCACAGAAGTATTACAATTATGGGCCTGTGCTGAGACACTTTAATTTGTTTTATAAAAAAAAATTGTACTAGGTGCTTTAGAAATCAGAGCATATTGTACAGTAACATTAGTTTCAAAACTCCTGATAAATCTTTTTAGGACAGAAGTTTACTGCACAGACCTTTAAATTTACTCACTACAGTGGATTTTTAGTGAGTAAATTTTTCTTTGTACCTTATTCAAAATGTGTAGCAACAATGATCTTTTTAAATAGTGATATTTATGATGACTCGTAGTCTCATGGTCTCATATATGCTAACATTTATACCCATGAAACATTATCCTGAATGATCAGTAAAGAACAGTTTATGGCCAATATTGGCAGCTAAAGAAAGCTTTATTCGATAAGGGAATATAATTACCAGTCATAATGAACAAGATTTCTACAAGATTTTTCCTTTTCTTCTTTTAAGCACTGCTTTTAAATTATAAATAGATATGACACATATCTATATATACTATATTTGTGAAAATTAACATTGAATGTAAAAATTGAATATAAAATTAAAAATGAAACATTAAAACAAGATTATAAAATAAAATTATAAAATCAAAATCAAAATATAAATATATACATCAAAAATATAAAACAGTATGAAATTGAATAATTAATAAATTTTTATTTTTATGTAGAAATATTCAATAATATTTTAGAAGTATATTAAATGTCTTCTGGTCATGGGAGAAATTATAATATAGATGAATCACATACTTCCAAATAGTAATGTAACTCATCATTCTTAAAGTATTTTACATATTTATAACTTGTTTATTTAAAATATTTCCCTCCTCAATTTTTTACATACAAAATGCCCTATTAATAAAGTTATATCCACTTGCCTTCATACATTTTTATTTGTTGATTCTGATTAATATGCCTTTGAATGCATCAGTAGGAAATGTGAAACATGAAATCTTTAAAACAGATTCCTATTCTATTTTAAACAACTACTCAAATAATAATATAGACTTATATAAGTGGGTTCTTTAAAGACTCACTGCCAAGAAAGAATTATTCCTTAATTCAATACAGTCAAATACATTAAGCTTTTACAGTCATTTATAAAAACAAGCTAGAAAAAACTAATATTTTAGGAGGAATTCTATTTTCTATGGTTTAATTTTTCATTTTTATTTACATGTTTAGAAATATAAACACTGTTGACATAAGAAATTTTGTAGAAATGAGAAAAGTATAAGGCACAGATGGGCATATTCATAAGAGGCTGCTGGTAGCTACAGTGTTAGGATATAACAGTTCACAGCTTAGCTGTTTCCCCAGAAGTATCATCCATTCCTCAGTAACCAATCTTCACATGTAGTCACTGCTAGTGTTGCATTTTATATTCATGTTCAGTCATTCAGGAAGTTAGAATTCAGTCTCCCAAACATCTTTTCATTGAACGGATTAAAATGGAATATTTGAGTTGACATGCACAGTGTGTTTCCTTTTCCTTCTTTTAAGAACATATTACTTTTTACACAGAGTACACACTCTCACAAAGTTTATGTGGTAGTGGACAAATGACTTCACCTTTGTGGAATTCAATCAACTTACATAAAAACGGAGGGATTTGAAATAGATGGATTCTAAGAAAACCTGTAACACCTGTTTTGTTGGAATATAATTTGGTGGGAATTATAGTTTCATTGTTCTTACTGAAAAACTCTCTGATGTGCAGATGTGTAAATTCATGGGCTATTGTTATTTCTAAAAATCATTTGGATTTATATTCTAGGTACTGATATACAAATAGGTATTGAAAAATTTTTCGATGGGAAACAAAACATCTTCCAAAAGAGATAAATACTGAATAACTTGTAGTAAATTCTCTTCAAACTCAATAAAAATTTTTCTTTTAAAAATAATAACCAGATCAGTAACCGTGGTGCATGCCTGTAAGTAATCCCAGTAGCTTGGGAGGCTGATGTGCTAAGCAATGCAGTGAGACCCCATTTCTAAATAAAATACAAAATAGGGCCAAGTGCCCCTGAGTTCAATCCCTGGTACTCTGCCCATAAATAAATAAATAAATAAATAAATAAATAAATATCATGACCAACATCATTTCAATAATGTGTAATGCTAGAAATCAGGATGCATTGTGGTCAAAAGATAAAACAGGAATTTACATTAAAATCAATGTGATAGAAAAATTCAAAAAAGAAGCATAACTTTAATGGTTTTTAGAAAAAAAAAATATAAAGTCTATAAGTATCTGAAAACAATTTGTGTCAGAACTTAAAACTTTCTTTTTTTCCTTCAAAAACAAGTAGTTCTATATTAACTTTATTAACACAGTATATTAATATAGTGTACAGGCAACAGAAAAGTAACAATCACTTTTATGTTATTTCATACAGTGAGGATACACAGATAGGATATACATCTTCATAAAACTTGAAATTATTTCTGTTCTACTTATTTTGTCAAAAATGCTAAAAATATAAATAAAATTTTTAAGTAGAAGAGACGGTTCTCTCAAGTTTTAGACACAAAATAACAGAAAATTCCTTTATTTTTCATTGAAGGAAAGTTTAACATTATGAATTCAGGCAAAATATGAATTTCATAACTGTGTTTAAGAAAAGATGGGTATTCATATCAAAGATTGTCACAATCATCCAGTGTTATTAGAAGCAATGTGTATTAAAACATGTTTTACTATCCTATTTTGAGAGTTCAAGTATTTCACACTAAGAAAAAATACTTTCAATTAAATTACTTTCTGTTTCTTGCTCTGAAGTCCAACAGCCAAAATATAGAGTAAATTTCTCTGTAAAGGCGTGTTTCCTTTTGTGTTTCGGCATGTAAAAAATAATGTTCTTGGCCCTTGGCGATTGCAGACATAAGAATTTTATTAAATTGTTAATAAATAAATTAGCACTTTCTTAAAAATAAATTGCCCTAATATTCTAGTATGTATTTTCCACATGTCTGCAATTTCACAAACCCAAACGAATGTATTAGAGATGTTGGTTTAAAAACATTAATAACACATTGCTATGCTAGTTGGTGCCTGTAATTATCTTTTTTAGTTCTGGAAGGTATTTGGGGATTGTTTAAGAGCAAAAAACGAATGCTGTGCCACTAAATCCTGTTAAATCAATGCATAGACACAGCAGCAGCAGAGGTAAATAAGCTGTGGAGGTCTGAATACCAATAAAGAAGATAAAAATGGTTTTACATAGCTACTTACATCACAGCTTAGAAGTTCAGTCTGTGTAGATTTATCTACTCTTGAAGCAAAAGCCTTCTGTAAATGCTGAACTTTTTCCTGCAAAATGAAAAAAATAATTGTATTGTTGGTAAGTCATGTGCTTCTATACTAATACTTATTAAAATATGATTAGTATGCAATTCATGATCTTCTCAGTGTGTACATACAGTTGGTGGTTTTCAAATCAGCCTAAATATTGATAGCTTTAATTTTCACGTCACAATTATCCTACCTTAGGTATGTTTTCTTCTTTCTAGTCTAGAAGATATGGAGTCAAAGTCATAGTTGATTGTTGGACACAATTTGCTTGAATCTAAGACCACCTGTTTATATTGTTAGCTGTTTTTTTTTCAATTTTTTTTAGTTGTAGATGGACACAATACCTTTATTTTATTTGTTTTTATTTTTATGTGGAGTTAGGGATCAAACCCAGTGCCTCAAACATGCTAGGCAAGTGTTCTACCACTGAACGACAATCCCAGACCCTGTGTTAGCTGTTTTTTTTCATAACTAAATTGATATGAGATCAACAAAATCATTTCAAAATATTTAAATTTCAAAGCATTTTCAATACATGAGAGAGCCATAGGATTCAATTTAGTTTGTGTAAAAATTTTTATGCTTCTTAATTCTCTCTAGGAATCCCTACACATTTGGATGTCTGTCTTTTAAGGAACTGACACTACCCCAACCCTGTGATAACTGGGTAAGAGGAGGAACACATGAAGGAAGTCTGGGGTTTCATATTTCAAATGCAAGGGTACTAATTCTTGATCCATTTATTTAACTGGATTTTGGTGTGTGGGCTTCTTTTCTCATTCCAAAACCTTTACATAAAATAAAACAGGATCAGGGACTTAATTATTATGTAATGTGTTTACAGCTGAGAGATTTGTTCTCTCATGACCACATCTCATGTTGGGTTACTACTGTCATTCTTCCCCCTGCTACCCTCCTACACTCACTAAAAATTAAACCCAGTGACTAATGAGTCAGATTCTCAGTCCTTAAATTTTGATATGAGGTTTTTCCCAAGTTGTCCAGGCTGGCCCTGAAATTTCAATCCTCCAGCCTCAGCCTCCAGCAGTAGCTAGAATTACAGGAATATACCACCCAGCCTGGCTTCTATTACCATCCATTTTAAAGAGAGAAAATGCAGCTTAAAAAGTTTAACTTGAGAAAGTTCCCAAAGAATTTGTTTTGACTAGCCTATGTTTAGACTTCACTTAAAGGAAAATTCCTTTCATTTTCTTTTCTTCTGAATGCTTAACAAAATAATTTTATAATACATTAATGATTAAACACAAAACAAAACAAAAAAAATTACAATTTACTTTCAATTTTCCCAAGGTTTTCAGTAGTTATCAAAAATCTCACTCCAGAATTCCAATTACATAAGTTTCTTCCTTCCCCTCTCACTTTTTCCTCCTTGCTTCCTCACTTGGTTTCCCTTTCCCTCCCCTCCACATCACTCCTTCAGTTCTGGGATTTCAAGATTACTTGGGATTTTGAATGAATTCTCAATATAATTTAGGTAAACAGAGTTTGTTTTATTGTAAAACAGAAAAGAGATATTATAGGTACTTTTAATGTCTCATACTTTCTAATATCCTTAATCATAAAAATTCTAGTACAGCTATTCAGACAAAAATGAAAATTAGATTAGACAATTCAAGATGTGATATGAGGTAAAACTGATAAGTGTCTGAAAAAATTTAAGTGAAAATGTGGCTGCATTGTCCAAATTAAAAGGAGCAGGAGGGCTGGGACTGTAGCTCAGTGGCAGAGCACTTGCCTAGCATGTGTGAGGCACTGGGTTCGATCCTCAGCACCACATAAAAAAATAAACAAAGGCATGCTGTCCATCTACAACTATAAAAGAGATTATTTAAAAAGTGAGCAGGAGCACATTGTGTTTATTCAGATGTATATTAGGAAGGGTGTTGGAGAAGAACAAGGAGAGTTAAAAATAGGTACAGAAAGCAGTAATGTTTGCTATCATTGAAAGGTTGCTCAGAAAAGTTTGATTATCTATTTTTTGAGGTAGATGGAATCATAAACATCTGAAAAGTAAATTTCCATAAGTATATAAACTTTGTGTATAAATTCAAGAACAAGAGAAAATAGCTAGTAAAAGTTTCCATTATGCTTCACCTCACATTTTTATTGTTAAGGGCTTCTGTCCTAGGATAGGAAATGGAATGGTCTGGTAAAGTCAGCCTCATTGGCCTGAGTAATGAGTCTAAGGAAATTCAAAAAAGATAAATATAAAACTCAAATAGCTTCATAACCAGTATCCTGATCAAAGCAAAACAACAATAATTTTAAAAATACCTAATGAAAGCTGGGCTGTAGCTCAGTGGAAGAGCAGTTGTCTAGCATGTGTGAGGCACTGGGTTTGATCCTCAGCACCACATAAAAATAAATAAATAAAATAAAGGTATTATTATCCTTCTACAACAAACACACACACATATTTAAATACATATATTTTTAAAATACCTAAATAAAAACGATTATTTTTAGACATAAATAAACAGATACATTTTCAATCAAAAAGTCATTATCACTTTTTCTTATATATTTGGATTATGTATTATGTATGTATATGTGTGCCATATTCAAATGTGGAGAGTAATTATAAGCTTCTAATAGATGACTTAAGTAACAAAAATTAAAAATTAAAAATCTATACCCATAACAATATATATACTTGTCTTTAAATTTCCCTTTTCAAACAATAACGATATCTTTGGGATTCTTTTTCTTAATTGAGATCAATAAAATATATACAGTAAAACAAAGAAAAAAAAGACTATTACAGTAGTGTTCATGAAAAAAAATTACAAAATCGAAAGAAAAAGAAATTTCACGATGTTATATTTGCTGATAAATTATTGTGTGATCTGAGTCCTGAATTTTGAATGTGGAAATTTTGAATATTACACAATATTGCTACTTGAACAAAAGTATAATGTTTTTTCTCAGCAATTTCCAAGTTATTTTATTTGAGATTAAATGTGATATAATAACTATTTGTATAAAAAAATCCAACTACCATAAATAACTGCATAAAGCTAAAGAAATATGAGTTACACATTTACTTGATTATATTCACATTTTCTTTCCTTCTGTAATCTTTACCACTATAAATATTACTAATAATAATGGATTCCATTGATAGACTGCAGGTTTTATGCCAGGCACTGTACCAGCAAAATAAATAAATAAATATAACACATAAATATACATATATATTACTTGTTTACATAGTATTTTCCCACTTTTAAAGAATAAGAAATCTATTCTTAGTAAGATTAAATCAATTCCTAAAGATCATACAAGACAGTAAGTGGAAAAAAGATGAAAACCTAATTTTTCTCTCCTTAAACTGTGGTGCCAGGGCTGGGGCTAAGGCTCAGAGATAGAGTGCTTGCCTAGTACATGCGAGGCCCTGGGTTTGATCCTCAGCACCACATAAAAATAAATAAATAAAATAAAGGTATTGTGTCCAACTATAACTAAAAAATAAATATTAAAAAATATATTAAAATAATAATAATTTAAAAAACTGTGGCTCCCTTTCTATATTCTGACTCTGGAAAAGCTTTACAAATGTTCTGTCTCCAAATCATATATGCAAAGAAACATACCAAACATGAGGTTTTTATAGTTACTTCACAGCCAGTAATAATAGCTGGTTAATAAAGCTGTGTTCTTGATATTCACCCTACCCATAGTCTTTTGGGGATCTATTAAGTTATTTTACTTTTCTCTGGAAACACTTTAAGACTACTTAATATTTACTGATGTATTTCCTTTAAAGGTTACAATTCCACGAAATACCCATTACTATAAATATGATCAGTAATGCACTTTGGAGCATGGGTTACAAATAGAATGATAAATTTAATGTAGCACTATAACTCAAAATTGGAAACAAGATGTGAAAAAGCAAACAAGTAAAAACAAATTTTGAAGAGGCATGAAATCCTTCAATAGCAATGATATTATCAGTTTAAAGAAGAGAAAATATTCTTTTTAAGCTTTTAGAATAGGGTCAGGAGTGTGTAAGTATTATACACTGGGTAGTGATAGAATCTGTCTTCACAATACATGCTTTCCATATAAAAAGTTGTTATTTAATATCTCTTAGGATTTTTAATTTAAATTTCATCAAAAATATATTTCTATTGAATGCTAGAGGGAAAAAATAGGTACCACTGACTTGTGCACATTTTACATTTGCATTTGTATCAAGCACATGGCACCAAGAAAGTATTAAAGAGGAGGAAATGTGATATAAACAAAAAACAAGAAAAAAATCATGACAAGCTAGTGAAACTGATTTTTTATATTAAGCCTTAATGTTTTTAAATTGGTGCATCATGATTTTAAAAAGTAGCAGAATTCATTGTGATAAATTCATATGTGCACATAACATAATCTGGTCAATTCCACACCTATTACATTCTCTTTCTCTCTCCTCTTTCCTTCCCCAATCCCAATTCTCTCTCTACTCTTCTGATCTTGCTACTTTAATTTTTTTTTAATTTTATAAATACCATTTTCCCCTTTCTTTCTATCTTTCACATATGAGCTAAAACATCACCCTTTGAGTCTGGTTTATTATGAAAACATATGACCCTTGACTTTCTGAGTCTGGCTTATTTCACTTAACACAATGCTCTCAAGTTCCATCTATTTTCTTGCAAATGACATAATTCCATTCTTTGAAAACTCCACTGTGTGTATATATTCCACATATTCTTTATCCATATGTCCATTAACATGCACAACTTGTCTATTATGAATTGTGCTGCTAAACCTGAATATGCATGTATTGCTAAAGCATGATGATTTTAGTTCTTTGGATAAATACTGAGGAGTTGCACAGCTAGGTCATAAGGTGGTTCTACTCCCAGTCTTTTGAGGAACTCCATACTGATTTCCATAGTGGTTGTATTAATATTAATCCCACATCTTCACCAGAATTTTTTATTATTTGTGTTGATGATTGTCATAAAATCATTTTTTTTCAAATGGCTTTGTCAAAT